GTCAAAGAGTCTGGAAAGGAGAAAAGCTGTAGAGAAATCGCTCTGCATGTAAGTATCGAAAGGCCTGGGTTGGCCCCAGTTCTGCCTGTTTGCAGCCTTGGGCCCCCATTTACTCTTTCTACTCCCACCAGTAAATCTAAAACTTCAGTACTGACAAAAATAGGGCTGTTGAAAGAACAAATGAGATAATTTGTAAAATGTGTTCTATAAACCGAAAGGTAATACACACGTACGATACAGACCTCTCTGGAATTTTACATTAAAGTATGCACTAAAAATGCAGTTTAAAAAAAAAAATCCAACTCCAGCTCTGGAGCTTTGCTTCTTTCTTAAGTGGATTTAAATATCTAAAAAGAGCTATAGACCAATGGCCAATATGAACCAAAATATTAATTAGACCAGCTATATCTTTGTCAGTTTACCCACCCACCCCCACCTCACTCCAACCAAACTTTTCACCCCTGGTGAACAGGAGAACAGAAGGAAAACAGTCTGATGGAGGCTTCAGAGAACAGGGAGCCTACAAGGACGTGGAGACATCGGTGTCCTTTCTGATACCCCATTATTTGGGATACTCTTCCCTTCTCCTTATTTGTTCTTTGCCATTTGTAGCTTAGAGGAGTCCTGGAATTTCCATGATGCATGAAGCCTTAGAGAACCTCTCCAATCCATCCCACCATCCATCCCTTCATTCGGCAAAAGGTTATTGAGTGTCTACTCTGTGGCAGGCACTTCCCTGGGCACTGGGGTCATGACAATCAACAAGACAAGAGCTCACATGCTAGCAAGGAAGGCTGCCATCGAATGTGACACATGAGTAAGTAAGATGGTTTCAGGTCGTGGCAAGTGCCAGGAAGACAGTTGAGCAGGTGCCATAATAGAGAGTGATAGGGCTGGGGAATGAGAGGAGAGGTCTTCAGATGGGACAGGGAAGCCCTTTGCTATGAGCTGACATTTGAGCTGAGATTCAAAGGATGGAAAGGAGTCAGCCACGCAAACTTGCGCTATAAGCTCTGGAAAGTACAAGTGCAAAGACCCTGAGACAGGAACAAGTGTGCTCTATTTGAGGAACAAAAGGAAGCCAAGTAGCCCAAAGGTCAGATCAAGGGGTAAGTTGAAGAGGTAAGGTCGAAGAGGCCATGTCAATGGCCCCTTTGCATGTGGGAGAAAACTGGAGCCTGGAGAGGCTAAATGAGCAGCCCAAAGTCACACAGCTAATTATTGCTACAGTTCATTCTAGATACTGATTCTTTTTGCCCCAAAATCCAGAGTGTTTTACACTTGCCTCAAATTGTGGGAATACTGTTTGCTAATTTATTGGTTTTTAAAAGCCCTTAACATACATAAAAGCAGCAAGCCGATCTCAATGATCAGCAGAAAATCATCAACAAGTGATCCCAGTAATTTAAAATACATATAAATCCTGCTATGAAAGCAAAAGACTTAGTGCCAATCTACTTTTGTGTAGGTACTGCACAAACAGCAACTATTTGTTAAAGGTTTAGCTTTACAAATATGGAGAAAGGCCAGAGCTCACCAGAGAATAATCATTTTACCTTTAGGTCTTATTTTCATACGTAAACCTCTCGACAGTGCTTTGCATAATTCTCCCAAGTGCAATCAAAACCAATCTGTTCTCAATCCACCTTCATTTTGCGCTATTAAATTGTCAGGTAACGGGGCTGTAAGCAAAACATCATAATTACAACTTCCTTCCACAATCTGTGAGCGCCTCCCCCTAAAAGTATGAAAACACTCAAATCCCACAGTCCATTGAACGTGAACTATCCCTTCACTTTCCTCATATAACGCTAGGATCCCCTTTATCTCTGCCCTGCTAAACACCCTTGGTCTGTGCAAACACTAATCCCCAAGGAACAGACCCAAGGTCTGTCCAGTAGTCAGTGACTAGCCCACCAGAGGAAGGAGCAGAGACGCTAGCCAGCTAGAGGGGTTGCTGGAGAAAGGAACTGTGGAAAAGACTGATTCGCTGCCTCCGTCCTCTCCCACCTCCTCTTCCTCTCTACCCTCCTCCCAGCCCCTGACTGGGCTTCTCCAGGCCCTGAGCTCTGGGAACCTCACAGGGCAAGAGCCAGAGGTCCCAATAACTTAAGAGAGAGACTTGAAGGGTGTTTAAGGTCCTATATTCTAGTCCAACCCTTCCATCTACCACCTGTGTGACCTTGGGCAAGGTACTCAACCCCTCTGTTCCTCAATTCGTCAACTGTCGAATTAGGACAGTATCTTCCTCCTAAGATTAAATAAAGATGATTAAATAAATTAATCTTCCAATTAAATAATAATTAATTAATAAGTCATTTATTTAATGTATGTAAAGCACTATAGAGTGCCTGGCACATAGTTCTACACAGGTGTGAGATTTGCTACCCTCATTCCTACTTTCTTTCTGCCTTCACTCTGGCTAAGGAAGACTACTGTCACCCCCACCTTCAGGAACAATTATGCATGAAGTCAGAGCACCTTACAGGAAGGCAGCATAGTGGTACCCTATAGCAATCAAGTGCCAAATGGGGACAGTAACACTTAAACCATCAGATAAGTATTATGAGATAAGTATTATGAGAACGACTATATAAAATAATCTACATAAAACACCTGGTATGCAATGATTGCTCATTAAGTGTTATTATTTTTATTAGTCTTTTTATTTTTAGCACCAACAGTTGTAACTATAGTTGCTACTTGCATGCTTCTTCACTGTGTCAGGCTGTAACGTGTGTTTATCACTGTGACATAAATATGCAAAATGATGATCATATAGGAATGTATTTTAAAAGCCAAGGCAAGTGTCACAAAGTTAACCCCACAGCCCTCCCTATCGGAGTCCCTTGAAAATCCCCACCTGATTCTTTAGACAACTGCCCACTTGACACACTTCCTGAGTGACACAGAGACATCTCCCACTTGGCAAACCCTAGACTAAACTCACGCGCCTTCAAGACTGGTCCCACCTTGGCTGCTGTCCCAACCATTCCAATTCCTCCACCTCTACAAGTTCTTCACGAAAAACCTGTAGATTTCACTTCCTTCATCACTCCCTACGCCATCTACTTCTCCATTCCCAGTCCGTGCCACCAGGGTATCTGGTTGCTTACAAGAGCCACACAGCACTTGTTTTAAAACTTAGTTCAGATCATGTCATTCCTCAGCCTGAAAGCCTTCAGCGGCTTAAGACGAAGACTACACTCCTCCCACACCCCACAATTCCACCCTACCTGCAACAACACGAGGTTTTGGGTCTGATCCTACAGATCCCTCAATGACACCTCGAAACACATGCTCCCTTGCTCTCTGCTCCAGCCATAGAAATTTCCTTTCAGTTCCTCAAATACACATGCTCCTTCTGCCTCAGGGCCTTTGTACATGCCATTCCCTCTTCTGCAATAGTTCTCCTCATCAGCCAATTACTCCCTACATATCCTCCAGGTTTCACTACAAGTGTCTGACTATGTTTCCTGACCTCCCACCTAACCTGATCATTCTCATCTCTTCCATCACTTTCTTAAAACCCCGATGCTCTCCTTCATGGGACATACATAAACTTGTAATTATCCACTCCTCTGTGCGATGACTGATTTAGGTCTGTCTCCCTCACTATAAACTCCAAGAAGGCAGAGCTTTTGCCTGTGCTATTCTGACTGTATCTCCAGTACCTGGGACAGCAGTTGGTATGTAGTAGGTATTCAATAAATATGCTTTGCCAGGATTGGGGAGGGGGGGAAGCTAAGGCATATTTTCATAATTCCAGAAATCTAGAGACAAAAGAGAAGATGCAGGTTGTATTTAAGGTGTAACGGCCTCAGTGTTGAAAGTAGGCAATATTTCTTCACTCTCTCTTCAATAGCCAGTCAATTCATAAGACATTTACTTAACAAATGAAAAGGTTTCCTCTTTTCCAGTCTGAAGAAAAGAAAAAATACACTTTTAAAGAACACTAAACATACACACAAAAGCATGCAAGTAGCATCTACAGTTACAACCACTGGTGCTAAAAATCAAAAGATCCCAATCAAAGGAACACATTTCAACCCCAAAACACACAGAGGCTCGTCCTAGCTGGACTCAGTTTTCAGATGAGAAGAGAAATGCTAAATGGCATTTTTGTTAACACTGGACACTACCTTTCAACTTATTCTTCTCCCATGCTGATCTCAGGGGGAACCTTGACAACTGTCTGCTAATTACAGACACGGTGGCACACACAAATCTGTCTTAGTTGCTCCCTTTTGCACAGAGGGAACATTGTCCAACATTTTTAAGAGACTGTAAACGACACTACTGCTCAGGCAGGTTCACTAAGTGGCTCCTCCCTAGCCCTTGCCAGCCCCACCCTTCTCCCAACCCACTCCCCACACCCCCTTCTGCTCCCTGGGAGCCAAACTAGCTGCCTGGTTTGGTAATAAGATCGAGCCAAGACTCAGAAGGCCCCGTGGGCTCCATTATTCCGCATACCCTGCAAGAAGGGCCACCTCCAGAGACTGTTGCTGCAGATCTGAACCCCACTTGCTGCCAGGAAACCTTTCCCATTGCGGACGCCCTGGGCAGGCAGCGCAGCCCCAGGTCCAGGGGGAGGCACCCCACCCATCTGCCAGAGAGACAAAGATCACCAGAAACAAAGGACACACACGTAACACACACACACACGCACACACATGCACACACACACACACGCACGCACACACAAAGTTCAAAACAAATATCCGACACTTGGTGCAATTTCAAGCCAAACAGCCGGCTTGTTGTATCTTTAGATTTTGAAACAATCCGTTAGAGACAATGACTATATGATAATGACAAGCACTCTCTGGGTTTGGAACCCACGCTGCCTCCGCCCTCTTCCCACCGCGCTGCAGTTCCGAGGCGCATTTTCCTGCCTCAGGACACACGCTGCCAGGAGCAAGAGTGCTTCCACTCACGGAAGCGGGCACACGCCGGGGATGGAGGCAGGGTGAGGGCGGCCAAAAGTAGGAAATACCAACCTTTAGGATCCCAGTTCACCTGTTTTCTTGGAGTCTCGATTGGAAATTTCATTGCTCCGTTGCCCAGATGGGGAGGAAATGAAAAGAATCGAAATAATAATAATAAAGTCCTCGAGCTTTACACGCCTCAGTACAGCGGTCCAACAAAACAATTTCCAAGGATTGGGGAGAGCCTTGGACTGGTTCGTGGAGAAACCCCAGAGAAGGAGAAGTGGAAAATACTGGCTTAGGAGAGAACTGGAAACGGCTTGGGTGTTTGCACCGGTTGAGGGGTGGCTGGCAGCAGTCCCCCCACCCCCTGTCCGGGTAAAAGGAAAAGTAAGATTGGCGATGAGTGGGTGGAGCGGGAGGCCCAGGAAGATGAAAGAGCCAAGCTGCTTCCCAACTGCGGTGCCGGCAGGTTGGGGGGCTGAGCAGCCCGAGGGCCGGAGCGAGGGAGAAGCCCACTGCAGTGGCACTCCAGCCCCCCGAAGGCGTGTGCGCACACACTCCCGCACACACACACACACTCTCGTCCGGGCGCGCGCTCTGGCGGGCACGTCAGCCTGGCTCCGCGGTGCAGAGCGCACACGCCCCACCCTGGCTGTGGCTCCTCGCCCGCAGGCGACGCCCCCCACTCTCCACCCCACGAAAGCCATTGGACGTAGAGGTGGCGCGGCACTCGGGGAGCGCGCGGCGAGGACGACCCTCCCCGCTTTGCGCCGCAGAAGCCGCGCGGCGGTGGGAGAGCGCGCAGTGGGTGGAGGCGTCCGGCCGGGGTTGGCGCTCTCGGCCCCTGGCGCCCGGCCCCAGGCAGCGGCCGGCTGCGGACTTGCCCACGGAGCAGCGGGGATCAACCGGCAAGGCGTCCGGGAAGCCAAGGCGCAGCGGGGCGGGGAGCGGGCGGCAGGCGCGCGGCTACTTACTGGCGCGGCCGGCGGGCGGGCGCACGGCCGTGGAAGCGGCCGCGGCGCGCTTGGTGGAGTTGCAGCCGGAGACACGCTTGGCTGCCTGGAAGGCTCTGCAGGAGGCGAAGGAAGAGCCTTGGCGGCCTCACAGCAGACCCTTGCCTTAGGAGCGACCTCTTGTCACCACTCCCACCTTGGGTGCACCCCCCTTCTTTTCTCACTTCATTTTTTCACCCCAGTCCCCTCCTGCCCCTGTGCTCCGAACCCACGTCCCCAGCGCATTCCGAAGAGGCCGGTGCCAGCCATGAGCCTTTTGTTCTGGGACCGCTCCACATCGGCCGCGCTCTCCCCGCCCCGGGAAGCTCATTCCCCAGGCTCAGCCCGGTCCCTTCCCCAGCTACCTGCAGCCCAGCTGGGGCCGCTGTTAGGAGGCCGGGGATGAGGCTGGAGAGAGGCGCGGCGGCCCCAGAGGAAAGCGGGGTTGCCAAGACCTGGCAGCTCCGGGAAGTGGCGGCCCCAGGAGTCCGAGGGCCCAGCAGGTACCGGAGCATAGGGCCTCCAGGCATGCTCCCAGAAAGAGGCTAAACCTGGCACTCCTCCCTACCCCCGCTCTCACTGCCCCCGCCTGAAGCTGCACAGGGCTTGCGGTGGGACCTCAGTCTCCAGAAGAACCTGGTGGGCCGAGATGGTCTTGGATTAGCCAATGGAAGTACCAATATAAACAATGTTTACGAATTGTTTTGGATGCCTAGCAACGAAGCCTTGTACATAGTAGATGCTCAAGAAATACTTGCTAAATGAAGGCATGAATTGCATGAAGCAACGTTGGATAGGAAGTAGTTGAAGTTACTATCCATTCCATATACATAATCTTGAACTTCTTCTATGTACCATCACCACACTAGGTGCTGGTCATATGGCAAAGAACAAGATAGGCAGGGACCTTGACTGCATGGAGCTTACAGTCTGGTGCCATGAGGTCCGATTAGATTGTTATTGCCTTTACTTATGAAAGAGAAAGTAACTGCCCTGCTCATTCCTGAGCCTGCCTGCTGTGGCCCTAAACCCCGACACTAGGAGTTGCTCTCTGAACTGCATGCCACCCTAGGACACCCTGAGGCTTCTGAGGAGCCCTATGTCGGCAGCATCTTTCTCATCATCTACCCCCCACTGTCATGTCCAGCTTTCTGAGTCCACGGAGGTCCACTGTCATCTGTGGGAAAGGTTGGTAAGTGCTTTGTCACTGGTCCTACAGGCTTCCAGGACTGCAGACCCCATTCAGGCAAAAGTGGTACCAATCTGACGGCACCACCCTGAGCCTTTGGTCAGGCTCAGGTCCCCCAGGCTCTTCAGAGCCACCTTCTCTGGGGCCACTGTTTCCACATTTTGCCCCCCCCCCTCGCCCCACTAGGAGGCTGAGAAGATGGATGGGACATGGAAATGAGACCAACAAGGAATTTTTGCTTCTCCAGCTACATCGACAGGGACACCAGTATGTAAATTCTGCTCCAAGACCCTAAGGGGGCTTCCAAGCTCCTGAGGAAGCCTCCAGAGCCTCACTCTGCCCCCTCCTCCTTAGCTGCTTGCTGGCAGGCGGGCCCCAATCGCGGCAATGCCATGGTTTTACCTGCATCCAAGTCAGAGAGATGTCCACAGAGAAAGATTCTCTCTCTCTCCTGAATCCTCTGAAGATGGGGAGGTAAGACTGACATTTATCAAAATGCCCCCCTAACCTTCTCATACTTCTCTTCATCCATCTTCCCTACATCTTCCCTTTGAGAAAGCTCTAAATGGTCCCATTTCATAGGTAAGAAGACCAAAGCTCACAGAAGTAACTTGCCCAAGGTCACAACAAAGAAATTCAAAACCAACTGAGCTCATCTGGTCCCTGGACCCATGAAACTGACCCTGAGGCCGTCACGTGGGTTCTTTTGGGTAATGACGATCTAAATACTATCTTATCTAAGACTCCAGCCCCTTTTTTGTAAAATGAATTGGACTAACCTGGTGCCCTGGGGTCTACATTAGGGAATTAGCTCCCGCCTCGGGCAAATTTCCATGGTGCAAAATACAGCCTCAGGGTACATCATTCAGCCAATCAACAAACATTTATTGAGCATCCTTTGTGTACAAGACAGTTTGCAGTTTTTCTTAGAAATTATATTGGGACCTGGAAAACCTTCCCCAGAAAAGCATCAACAGGATGATTATTTGAAGGCTGGGAGGTTTAGGATGGACCTATTGGGGTGAGGGAGCAGGATCAAGGGTCTGGAGTCTTCCTGCGAGTTAATAACTTGCACTAGTCATTGGCGCCTAGGATCTTCTCTCTGCTAAATCAATAGATGCCGCCCCGCCCCCCCAACCGCTGGGGCTTTCACCTACACTTTAATTCTCCCTTCTCAGAATGTAAACAAAGACAAGTTGGGGCAGGGGGGCATCCACCAAAAATTAAGTAATTAATCCCAGCACCCCCACTCCTAACTGGCCTAATCAAGTCCAACTCCTAAACTGCATAGAATTTGGAATGGACTGTTGGCGAAGGGAGGGGTGGGGGGAGGGAGGCAGAGAAAGTAAGGGGGAGAGCCCCCCCCCCGCCCCGTCCCAAGAAAAACAACTTAGCAGATTAACCCTTTGCACTACTTCAGTCCCCTTCCATCAGCTTCAGTTCTACGCCGTCGACGTTACAAACTAGATTCCACTCACCCCAAGGAGGCAGGAAGTGGTCTGTGTAGAGAAAAAACATCCAAAAATGGTGCAGCTCCCCGCGGTCCCCTCTGGTTCTGTGCCGCCGCAACTTCCATGGCTATTGCTGCGGGCAGGTTAAGTCTGGTAGAAAGAGACGGTCTCGGGTTCCTGCGGCAAGAAAACAAAGCACAGTGGCGCAAAGTCTCCCTGCACTGGCCGAGCCCCGCCAGCAGTCCCAGCGACCGCGGCGGCGTCCCCCGCGCTTCCAGTGGGAAAGAGCGCGGATCTTTGCCGGGGAGATGTAGCTGCGCATCGCCCGGGGTCTCTGCAGCTCAGAACCTGCAATCTTTGCAGCGCCAACGTAATGAAAGACCAGTGGCCCTGGGACTAGGAGGACTGGGGAAGCCCGAAGACTCCAGTCATCTCCCACGAGGAACTTTTCCGCGAGTTGGCTCTCTTACCCTCTCCCGACGCCGCACCCTGGGCAGATGTAAGAGCGGAGGGGCGTGTGCTGCCTGCCATGTGGGGGGTCCCAGAGCGGCTGGCAATGCACCACTCAACCAGAGAAGAGTTCAACACGGATTCCGGGGTGCAGCAGAAGAGTGTCCGGACAGCGAATCGCAGGGAGTGATGGAGCAGTTTGGGGGCTCCTGCTTAGTGCTGATTCCGCAAACGGAAGGAGGGGAACAGATCTCATTACGATCTAATTTAAATCACGAAGATCAGGACGAGCTTGTTCATCTGCCTTGGATTGTTTCTCTTTGGTTTCATCATTCCTCCTTGAGGTCCAGAAGAAATCCCAATCTTCCAAGATCTCCCCCTTCCCCAAGACACCTCCAAGTCCTCTCTCTTCTCATTCGGTGAGGCTATCCCTATACACACCCCTTGTGTACACATTCAGTGATGAAACCGATAGAGTCACTGCATTAAAGTTAACTTAAACATCTCCTACCAGTATTGTTTTCTTTCCCAGTGAAGTTCCCACTTTGTTCGCAGCATTTAATCACTCCTGTATTTGTTTTTGTGTCCCAGTCAGCATCTACAAAAACACACCCTAAAATATATTTTGCTCTAATCTTGGGCCCTGCTTTTGGCTTGGAAAAGCTGGAGGCACACACGCAGCTATAGGATAGAGGGTGTCATATATCAAACTGCTCAATAGCAAACTCTGCGTGCACAATTCCTGCAGATTTATTTTGATGACTCAAGCTTCTGCTCGGGGACTAATGAAAATAATATACTATGAACTACAAAGAAGTTGTAATTACAGTATCAGGCTGATGGACACGTTTCATAACCTGGAACTGCAGCCTCTCCTTTTGTAAGTTTCTCTGTTTTGGATTTTAGCCCTTAAGAAAATATTATTTGAGCTCCCATAAGGCATCGTGCCAAATATTTTACCAAAAATGTACAGAGCTATAATCCTACTTCTTATTAAACAAGTTTTAAAGTAGTTCCCTCTGAGTTATCCCCAAAATATCATCCCAGATAACTTTTTTAAGAAATGGAGCTGAAATTTTAGGAGGTTTCCCCTCAACTTTTTTATTTTGAAATTTTTCAAAGGCACAGAAAAGTTATAGTCATTTGGGAAAAACCAGGTCCAATCAAAGATTGCACTTGTCGTTACATATTTTTAGTGTACTTTATTCTAGAAAACTCCACCTTTTTTAAATGACATTGATTTTTTTTTTTTTAAGAGTCTAAATTCATTTGCTATCTGGTAATGTTTAATGTCATGATGTAGCTAAAGATCATTTGAGTCAAAGGGGAAAAAAACAATTTCCTGACCACAGCAGGTCATTAAAATAACTCAGTGCCTTCTATAATTGCAGTGTCCAGCCAATATCCATAAAATAGAAGGCAGTTGTATTCCCTCTAACTCAACCTACTCCCTTAGACTTGGTACTAGCCTTAGTCTAAGAAGTTATCTCTGTTTC